TCAACTCACAAACAGACACATGGCAAGTGACTTTGTGCATGTGTGTTAGTGAGTGGTGTAATGTTGTGAGTGAGTGTGACGGTGGAAGCGAGAAGGCGCATTGAATCAAAACGAAGCATACGCAATGTGCATGCCTGTGTGTGTAAACACGAGCTCACAACTAGCGCGTGTGTGTGCCGCACCTGTTGTAAGCGCTGGGCACGGTGGCGGGTGTGTTTGGTGAGATGACGGGTCCCGGGAGAACGCGGCAGATGGTGTTGCCTGGCGATGGGATTTGGTAGAACTCAGACGCCTCGCACAGGCCGAGGTCGGTTGTGCCGGAGAGGCAGCGGCCGAGGCTGAAGCTCCAGCCGCAGCCGTCTGCATTGAGGCAGGCCTGACAGTCTGTGTGGGCGGCGCACGATGGGCAGCACGCATCCTCCAGCCAGTTGCCTGCGCACGTCGGCTGTGTTGCAGCCATGTGCGTGCGTGTGTGTGTTGTGTGTTGCATGAGTGTGGTGGGTGTGAGGGATGATGTTTGATGAAGGGTGGGAGAACATACATGACATAGAAAGGAAAACAAGAGCACAAGCATGTGGCTGCCAACGCCTACTCACACACACACACGCACTCTCTCTCTCTCACTCTCTCACACACACAACTCACACACACACACACACACACAACAACAACAACAACAACAACAACAACAACAACAACAACAACAACAACAACAACAACAACAACAACAACAACAACATGCAGGCGCGCGCACCTCTTCTGAGCGGGCGAGACAGCCGGAAGTGTCACACCAGCCGCACTGGGGGTCGAGAGAGCATTCTCCACATGACTGTGCATGTCGCAAACAAAACACCAAAGTGCACACAAGTTGATGTGGTGAGCAAAGAAGGAGCAACGGCCTCACACAGGTGGAAGCCTGGACATGGAACCATGCAGAAACATGAGCATGAGTCTAGGCAAAAACATTCATACGCATGCAAACAGATTGAAGGCAAACACGCACATGACGCACACATGACGCACGCACGACCACACACACACACGACCACAAATCACGCATGCATGCATGCCTTCATGCGCATGGCGGGGCAATCAATCACCTTGTCCCTGCAGTAGTCGTTGCAGGTAAAGGCGGAGACCTCCACGCCGTTTGCCAGCACCTCTGCAGCGTCCAAGTCCAGGAAGGACATGTCAAACGTGTCCGGGTTGAAGTTGCCGACACGGAAGTTGTAGATGTGGTCAACGACGTCATACTTGAAGTTGAACCGCCAGTTGGAGCGCGGGAGCTTCCCAAGCACGAAACCATCCATGCAGCACGATGCCTGGAAGTGTTGCATGCACATGTGGTGTTGATGGAACAGTCGGAGTGTGCAGGTGAGGTTGATTATATGTGTGTGTGTGTGTTCGGTTATTTTGAAGAAGTGCGCGGGCATACAATCAACAAGCACCCATTTCAGCAACACACTTCACACGCATCCATTTGGAGGCCCTAACCCAGATTTGGTTGAAGTAGCCAGTCATGGTGTTTGGATCGAAGGTGTAGCAATCGGACGTGCTCTGCAGGAGACGAGGTGATGGTGGTGTGTGGTGTGATGATGTGACGATGTGACACGCATGATGATGTTTGGTTGGATGTGTGAGTCGGAGTTGAGCATACGCGCCATTGGGGAGGAGGGATTTCGTCGCAGCTTGTGACTGTGGCGGTGTTTGGAGCTGTGATAAGACACATCAAAGCAGGCCAGACAGGCGCAGAAAAGATGATGCTGTTCCTCTTACCGTTGATCGCTCGCAGGTGCTTCGGTCCTTGTATCGTCCTGGATCATCTCCGAGCACGAGGTCCACGCCCGTGCCAATGAGATCTGTAACAGTCAACAGCGTGTGGTGCAAGGAAACCTTCACGTGAGCGTTTGTTGAATGGAGTGTATTTCAAACACCTGCGAGGGTAGCGATGCGTAACCTGCCAAGTACCCAAGTTCAAGCACACAAGTTCAAGCACTCGCGTTCAAATACCCAAGCTCATTCTCTCTTGCATGCAAGAAAACAGGTGGCTGCATCACCTGGGGCGTCGAGTTCGATGTTAATTTGGCCGCCAGATCCATCGCCGGCCCTGTCGTGAACGATAACGAACGAGACCTCGCCACAAAGTAGAGCAAGTCCGTGTTCTGAAGAAGGTGGTGAGCGGGCGGATTTCAGGTGGATGTTGAGCGAACAAATGAGTGCCGAAAGTGTTTGCGTGCACAAACACAAGCACGCACTGGCATCAACGCGTTCAGCACATGCCCATGCACAAAAAAGCAACATGTACACAAACACACACACATACACACAAACACACAAACACACAAACACATACACACACATACACACACACACACAAACACATACACACACACACATACACACGCACACACACACACACAAACACACACACACACACACACACACACACACACACGCGCACACACACACACATACACACGCTTACACAAACACATACACACGCACACACACACATACACACGCACACACACACACACAAACACACACACAAACACACACACACACATACACACGCACACACACACACACACAAACACACACACAAACACACACACACATACACACGCGCACACACACACACACATACACACACACATACACACACACGCACACACACACACACACACAAACACATACACACACACATACACACGCATGCATGTACGAGCTCACGCACAGGTTGTTCAAAGCCAGTGTTGCTCGCGTCGCTGTACGGTGCGTTGCCTGAGGTTCACAAAAGTAATGTGGGCCACGGTGGTGCCGATAGGCGTGTTCTCCGCAATACTGGCGGTATCAGGTAGCAGGGCTGTTGGCGCGTAGTTTGTATCTTCAACGTTGACGCGCACAAGAAAGTCAGCCAACAGCTGGGCAATGGTGCCGTTGTTTTTTTTTTGCACACAGCAGCCTCGATGGCCGACCCATCCACAGGGACAGTGATGAGGGGCAGCGGGAAGCTGTTCTCTGGCACGCGCGTGGTGCCGAGGGAGATGCGTTCTGGCGGCCTGTTGGTGTCATCACTGCACGTTGGGCCAACCCACTCGCCGACACATGCGCACTCAACCGCGCCTGGGTTGCACTCGCTGATGTCGCGGCAGGCCAGCTCTGTGTCGGTGTAGGTCTGATCAGCCTGGCATGCGCACATGAACGGGGTCAATGTGAAGGGAATGGTGGGCGTGCTGCTGGATGTGGTGTTGTAGTAAATGACGATACCGGAGGCGCACGTGTACACCACGGGGTCTTTCCCATGACTAGGATGTCATGGTGGCTGCATGCGCGGTCGCTGGTGCTGGCATCGGCAGCGCTCATCAATTGTAAATGTCACGGCTATGGTTTGCCACACGCTTGCGGTGTTGGGGATGCTGAACGTGGAGGTGGGGGTTGCCTGTCGCAGCCGTGTGCTAGAGTAGGCTGACGTTTCATTGAGAGTGAAAGACACGATGAAACTAGCGTGTGGCGTGCAAGTGCCGCACACGCAGTGTTGTTCGCACGCAGTGCTGTTCACACCCAACGGACGCGCACGCATCAAGATCTGCGCAGGCAGCGAAAGGCCAGGTCAGGGCCGTCCTGGCTCGTGGGGCTGCGCAACTCAGAGAGGCACTGGAGGACAGCAAGTATAGCAGCCGTGTTGATGGCTGTTCGCGCTGTCTTTGTTTCATCGATGAATGTGGATTACGCGAGGGGCGCCTGAGCGTTGCTGCTGCTGCTGTTGCTGTTGTTGTTTGGCATGCAGTTGTGCTGCAAGCACCATGCTCACGTCGATCGCACACGACCACAGAGGAACCTGGCTGTGAAATGTGCTGAGCTGGATGCAGTAGACACTGACGGTGTGTGTGTGTGTGTGTATGTGCCGGTGTCAAGTAGCGCAGCTGCCAGCGAGTGCAAGGTGAATGCAAGTGCATGTGTGAATAGCTTTGTGCATGTGTGATGGGCGTGTGTATGTGTTGTATGTTTGCGTGCGCGTGCGCGTCTGAATCATAGGATCATGGATGTGAACCCAAGTGAGCGTGCCAGAAGACATGTAACTTGTGGTCGTGGTGCTTACTGGAGGAAGCGGTGGCGTATCGTGGCGTGACAGGCGCGATGGGAGTTCCCAAGCGTGTGTTCAGTAGCACCCCCTACAATATCCATGACAGCATTATGTGTGACAACAAACCCAAGCCACACAAAGAAGTCAGGACAACCAATTGGCCATGTGGACAGTGCAATGCAGTCTTTGGTCAAGGTTGGTGCTGCAGCAAGACCCCTCCACATAGCGACAATGGCATCCGTATCCACCACCACTGGTCTGCAACCCAACAACGTCGAGGTACCCGTGCACGTGCTGCATGTTGTCGTCCCACCCCCCCCCCACACACACACACCGTAGATCGCAGAGGTGGGCGCGTCTCCAAAATCCTTCACGCGAAATGCCTCTCATCGCTGCGAACTGCGTAAGATTTCCACGAATTTTCCCAAGTAAACATGGCGAAGCACTGCAAGCAAGCAAACATGGGCTGCTGCTGTGTTGCCACACGACCAGCTGGTGAACAGCGCAGGTCGACGGAAGCGACGCGCACCCCAACAACGACGCCGACAATCACACCAGCAGCAGCGGACTGCCAGCACCAGCACCCGATACCCACGTGCATGTGATGGTCAAGCGCTCCTTCTTGCAGCCCGTGTCGGCCACATGCTATGATGCGTCGTGCAGCCGCCCTCGCCAACAGCCGCAGCTCACGGTCTCCGGCTGCACCTCCATCGACCCCATCCCGCCTCTCTGACGGCGCTTTCGCCGACCCGTTGCATCTGCACTGCTGGTACCCCTGCGCGCGCAGCACAACCACCATCGTCAACATCATCAGCAGCATCAACCCATCGCCGCTGGGCGAACCGTCACGACCTCTCGCCGCGGCCGCTGTCGTCATTCTACCAACTGCCACCGGACATGTTGGAGGCGAAGCGGTTTGGTGGGTATCTTGATATCTTGATGTGTCGATTCGAACATCGCACCATTGCTGTACTTGTGTGAGTGTGTGTGTGTCTGTGTGTGAGTGTGTGTGCGCGCGTGTGTGCTTTTCTGTTTTGTTTTTGGTTTGCTACGGCGCGATGTCGTACGACCGCTGTGACTTTGAACCGTGCTCATTCTGCACTCATCACCACCGTGCATGCATGTACACACACACACACACACACACACACACACACACACACACACACACACACACACACACACAACACACAACACAGGCCGCTGCTGGCGATGCTGGCGACACCAACGACGGCAACAACAACGACAACAACATCAACAGCGTCAATGACGACGGCAACAGCGATAACGATGGCTGGAACCAACACCCACTCGAGCGCAGCCCGATGATTGGTGCGCATGCGAGCCCGTTTCCCTCATGTGCCTGTGTCTGTGGTATTGTGACACCGAGTGCGAGTTTGAGGTTGGCATTGTGTACACGCGGGTGCATGCTTTGCACGTGTACATCGTTGTGTGTGCGTGCATACGGGCGCGTGTGCGTATGTGTGCGTGCGTGCAGGTGTTTCATGTGCGTGAGCGCATGTTGCTTGTCCTCGTCATCGGGTGTGAGTAGCTCACCTGTCTCTGTTACACATTGCAGGGGTGCTGTGGAGACGATCATGGTGATGATCAACTCTATCATGGGCCGCGACAGCAGGCGCTCTTTGCTCCACATCATCGTGAAGAAGCGGTGCGTACACCTGCCACATTTAATTCACATGCTGTGCTGTTTCACCTTCACACACACGCACACACACACGCACACACACACACACACGCACACACACGCACACGCACGCACACGCACACACACACACACACACACACGCACGCACACACACGCACGCACACACGCACGCACACGCACACACACACACACACACACACACACACACACACACGCACGCACGCACACGTCCCTTACTGCTGCAAACCACAATCATCGCTGTCGTGTGTTCTGTTGTACCAGGCCCATCGGGTGGCTGCTGTCGCTATTCCCTTTTCCAACAGCAGAATCTTGCATACACAGCTGCACTCATCCAGGATCGAGCGGGACCGACCGCGGTGCCGCCACCACACATACAGGTGGGGCGTGTGGCTGTGAGTGATCTGGTGGCGCTTGCACTTCCGACTAATGTGCTTGCTCTGGCCATGCCTGTTTATGCACGTGTGTCGCCTCCCACCTATGTGTTTTGCACACACACACAACACACAGACACAACACACACACATGCACATACACACATACACACACACACATACACTCAGCGGTGCTCAGCACTCAGGAACAGATTAGGATATCCTGGACCAGCTGCACCGAGAGCATGCACAGCGCCTGACGCGCGCAGATGCGATCAAACGAATGGTGCAGGAACGACAAGGGCAACAGCAGCAGCAGCCATCACCACCACCACCAGCAGCAATAGGAACAACCACCGCAAGAGATGCCATTTCTCGCCCAAACTCTCTCTGCATCTTATGCACACCCCGTTGATGACCTCACACCTGCGATCATGCGCATCATTACTGACTGGACAGCCAGCAAAAAGCACAACCACTCAAGCCTCCACGGCTCTCACACACACGCACACACACACACACATATGGAGTCAACCACAACAGCCCCAGCTGTCGCTGCGGTGCCAACTACCGCTGGCACCAGGGTCGACTGAGGCTGTCGATTGGAGTGGTTGACTGTCTGGAGGAACTACTGGCTTTGGATGCACCCCCCCCCATCGCGGCCGACGCTGAAGGCGATATCTGATTGACGCCCTGTCCCTGATCGATGCCCTGTCTCTTTGCTGTCACTGTTCTCGTTGCCGTCACGGTTGTCGTGCGCGTGTCCATTGTTCCCAACCAATACAACGTCCAACAGTGCACAGCCCCCCGAACAAGATAAACATATCCCCTCAACAGGGAGGGTTCATGTCACAAGCCCCCAGACCACCAAGCAGATTTTTCCTCGCAATGAAGCCGATATCATCGGGAAGCTCTCCGTGTGCCCGAGAACATCCTGCTCTCCGCAACACCCTTGCAAATACACGATACTTGGCTTCAACTCCTGTGACGAAGGAAAGGCGAAAAGAGAGTGTCCTCCTCTCGTTTTTGTTTTTGTGGCTGGCAACGAGCGCACTGCAGTTTGTGCTGTGTTGTTAAATACTGACATATTTGTAGCACATAGTGCCTGTTTATAACCCGGTAGCAGAAAACTGGGGTGTGTTATTGGCGAATTGTCGTCGTGTGGGGGTTCCCAGATAGTTTTTGCCGTGTGCAGCACAAAGGCAGGCAAACAGCAAGAGGGCCTTTTACTCCCCACCCAGTCAGCTGCACGTGAATCCCACCTCCACACAGCGCCTCAGAGTGAGTTGCAGTGGGAATGCGATGGAGCGTGGGTGGGTGTTGGTGCGAGTGTGTGTGTGCGGATGGGGCATGATGGGGCATGATTGGTGTGGATGGCGTGTGCTGTCGTGTGGTGCCGTCGTGTGGTGCCGTCGTACGGCATACGTGCAGCACGGTGACCTGCAAATGATGCCATGCATGACACGAGCAACAACAGCAACTCCTTCAAGCGCTCTGGTGGTGCCGCTGAGCTGGCGGCTCGTGAACATCTGCTGCATGGTGGAAGACCAGTGTGAGAGGGCCTTGGGGAAGGTGAACCGAGAAGCGAAAGGGGGAGGAGAAGGGGTGAGTGCGGCGCCACGCCGCGGAAGCGGGTTGTGCACTCAACCCCATGTCCACACACGTGTTTGCGACTCACTCACCACGTGCCCGCTGTTTTTTTGCACGACACACCACACACACACACACACACACAGATGCCGCCCAAGGTTGATGTTAAGAGACTGCAGGCTGCCCGCCTCGGTGGCAAGGTGTGTTAGCCGTGCGCGTGCTTGCATGTGCATGTGCATGTGCAACAAACATGCACACGTGCCGGAGATGCGTGCGTGTGCAGACAGTTTTTTTTTTCCTCGCTCTCGCTGCTCCGTGCCGCTCCGTGCGTCACTGCTCTAGTCTCGCTGCTCTGATGCAACCCTTTCCTCCACACACACACACACTCTCTCTCTCTCTCGCGCGCGCACACACTCGCACTCTCTGTCTGTCTCTCTAACGCTCGCTTCCCTTCTCAACTCGTGCGTGACTGCGTGCAGGGCACCCCCCGCCGCAAGAAGAAGCGCGTTCACAAGTCCACTGTCACGGACGACAAGAAGCTCATGGGCACGCTCAAGAAGCTCGGTGTCAACCCCATCCCCGGTGTTGAGGAGGTCAACATGATCCGTACCGACGGCAAGGTCATCCACTTTGACAAGCCCAAGGTGCAGGCCGCCATTGCTGCCAACACCTTCAGCATCTCCGGAAACTCACAGGTCAAGCCGCTCAGCGAGCTGCTCCCGGGCATCCTGCCCCAGCTCGGCCCCGAGAGCCTGGCTCACCTCAAGACGGCTGCCAGCAGCCTCGGACGTAAGTCTGGAATGCTTTTCTTGCGCCTCTGTGCAAATGGTGGGGGAGGGGCCGGCAATGAGTGTGCACGAGAGGAGGGCGCTTCAGGAACACAGTGTGTACGCGCGCGAGTGCGGGCGGGGCGTGTTTGTTGTGTGAACGACAAAGTGCGTGCCGTGCCGCTCAAACTGCCTTTGCGCTCACCCGTTTCTCACGTTTCCCAACCTGCTTCCACATCATCATGCAGTTGACAGCAAGGGTGGCAAGGCAGCAGAAGCTGCTGTTGCTGAGACGAACATGGAGGATGTTGATGGCGATGATGATGATGTTCCCGACCTCGTTGAGGGCGAGAGCTTCGAGACTGCAGCAAGCAAGTAAACGTGACCCGCCTCTGCTTTTGTTAGGGTGAGAACCGTGTGTGCTGACGCCTCTGCCCATGGTGCTGTCGGGGATATGCCGCGTGTGCGGTGCAATGGCGCTGGTCGACGGTGCTGTTTGTGACGTTCATTGCGTTGTGTTGAGGCAGCACTCCCATGGCAGTCGCTCTCGTCTCCTTTCTTCTCTCTCTTTCTTTCTTGTTCCCACTTCATGTGTACGTTTGTGGCTGATTGGTCGGTGTATGCCGTGTGGTGTTAATTGCCACTTTGCTGTCCTCCCTCTACATGTTGTACTGTGATGGAGAGTGGTGGTTTGGTTGTATTTCAGCGTGTGTCTTGTCTGCGCGTCAGTGTGAGGTGGGGACACGGCAAAACACCATGCTCCTGCACCTTCCTCTTTTTGTTTGGGGGGGTGGGAACAGGTATCAAAACCAAAATCCATAGTAAAACCCTACAAAGACACGCAAGCTGTCGAGATCAAGTGCTTGTGACATGTTGATGTAGCGCGTGTGTCACAGATGTTGTTTACTCAGGAGTTGTTGGGAAGGGAAAAGGACCGGGGGAGGGGGCGGAGGGTCACATCAACACCAGGGCCGATGAGGCACCAGCATAGCAATGCGTGCAACCCGTCCAAACCACAGAAACAAAGTTGGAAGGGTTGACATGGCACGCAAGCTTGCGACGCAGCGAATGCGCGAGCATTGCATTGTTACACAGCGTGCTCAGATGTCAGTGAGGTTGAAGATGTACGAGCCGAGGAGCTTGATGCCGTTGATGTAGTTTGACACATCGAGCTTCTCGTTCTGCGAGTGGGCGCCGTCGTCACCGCGGCCCATTGGCAGCAGCAGCACGCTCTTGCCCGTCGCCTCCTGCAGTTGGGGGGGGGGGGCGTGTTGAGGAGGCAAGGGGAGGTTGAGATGAGATACGCATGTGTGTGTGTGTGTGTGTGTGTGTGTGTGTGTGTGTGTGTGTGTGTGTGTGTGTGTGTGTGTGTGTGTGTGTGTGTGTGTGTGTGTGTCTGCGTGTTGTGAGTTGCCAGGGAGGGGACGCAATTCGCAAGCGCACCTCGAAGGTGAGGGTGATGGGGATGCTTCCGCCCTCGCGCGTGAGATCGGGCTCAACGCCGTACACCTGCAAATCCAGGGGGTGGGGCACCGCAGTGATGATGGGCAGGGTGAGGAAGCATGTGAGCGGGAAATGAGACATGACACGCGGGGTCAGAAGCGAGTGTGTGAAACAAAACCATGGTGGAGTGTGGATAAATAAATACACACACAAACATGCACACATACACACACATACGCAGCACACGCTCGCACCTCCTTGGTGGCCTTGCGGCCTGCGACGTAGTTTGGATGGTCAAAGTTGGCCACCCAAGGCTTGCCGCCGTGCTCAGAGGTGAGCGACACCTTTGTCGTGGAGTTGAGCTTGGCGTGCTCAGCAAGCACGTGCTTCTCAACCTGCAACAGTGTATGAGTGTGTATGTGTGTGTGTGTGTGTCTTGAGTACAACTCAGAAGCCGGAGCATGTGCAGGTGCAGGAGGAAGTTGCAAGCCAGCAGGCAACCAAGCATGCATGCAAAGTAACGACCACCATGCAAAGTAACGACCACCAGCACCAGCACCGACGAGCACGTGCGCACCTTCTTGAAGATGTCCTCGGGGTCCTGGTCGGGGATCACCTTGGTGATGGAGAGAAAGAAAAGAAGAGAAGGGAGAAAGGGGGAGGTTATGGGTTGATGTGCGCGTCGTGCGCATGTGGGGTGACAAAGGCAGGGAGGAAGGAAGGAAGGCAGGAAGGAAGGAAGGAAGCGAGGGGGAGGGAGCAGTTGGATTGACAACGAAACGAAAATGCAAGCATTCACGCACAAGCAACGTCAAGTGGCCAGCAATACTCTGCACCAGCATTATCATAACCACCATCATTGCCACAACCACCATCATGACCACTTCACCTTGCGTGGGATGACGGTCTTGCCGCCCTGGCCGTAGAATGCGCCCTCCACGCCGTGGATGGACAGCGACGGGAACCGCCAACGACGCATGAGCGTGTCAACTAATGGGTTTGATTGTGTGGTGGGGTGCATGGTCGACGGAAAGGCGGGAGGGGGTAATGATGGCGAAGAGGAAAAGAGGTGGCGGTAAGCGAGTGAGGTGGCGGTCTGTTGATATCAATGGGACCAAAAAGGCAAGCTCCACACACACACACACACACACACACACACACACACACACACACACACACACACACACACACACACACACACACACACACACACACACACACACACACACACACACACACACACACGCACACACACACACGCACACACACACACACACACACACAAAACTGACCCTTGGACGGGTGAGGCACGTCGCCAACAAGGCCGGCGTCGCGCTTGTAGTCCTGGATGTCAAAGTCGATGGCCTCGTACACCTTGTGCTCGTCGGCAACAACAGGGGCAACGGTGTCGTTCACACCATCGATGAGGATGTTGCCCTTGGCATCCACGAGCGTGCTCATCATCTTCACCTGTACACGTGGAATGGCGAGATTGGGGAGGGAGGGAAGGGGTGTGGGTAAGTGAGGTTGTGGTGGTTTGCGAAAGGGGGTGGGGGCGTGAGTTCAAAGGGAAATTGGAGCAGTGTGTTTGTGTGTATGTACGTGTGTGCACGTGCGTGTGCGTGTGCGTGTGCGTGTGCGTGTGCGTGTGCGTGTGCGTGTGCGTGTGCGTGTGCGTGCGCGTGGGCGTGGGCGTGGGCGTGGGCGTGTGCGTGTGCGTGGGCGTGTGCGCGTGTGTTCCCGTCACGCAAAAGTACACACCACAGAACTGCACATATACACAAAAATGCATGCCAACAGCATCAAGAGCGGTGTGTGCGTGTGTATATGTGTATTGCGTACCAGGTCGACCATGGGCTCGTGCACGGTGCCGCCAAACACGCCAGAGTGGAGATCCTTGGTGGAACCCTCAACCTGCAATAGTTTTCAAACACACACACACACACATATATACACACACACACACATTCATGCACGTGAGTGTGAGTTTCCATAGCTGTGGCGGTGTTATCATGGAGCCAATGAAGCAAACACACGTGCAAAACGGATATATGTTCACGTTTGCACATGCAAACACGCGCGTGGAAACGCAATGCTGCCGACACGTGAAAACGTCACGCACACGCACACACGCGTACACGCGCGCCAATGGGGCTTACGGAGAGGAAGAAGTAGCAGATGCCACGGAGGCCGTAGGTGATGCAGGGCTTGGTGGTGCCGAGCCAGTAGTTGTCGCTGATGCACACGCAGTCAACGTCAGACAGGAACCTGCACACGATTATGGCGGCGTGATAGCGGTGGTGAGTGTGGTGGTAGCAGTAGCGAGTGGGGTGGTAGCAGTATCGAGTGGGGTGGTTCGCTCTAGAACAGAGACAGGCAACAAATGTTGGGTCCAACACGTAAAAGCCACACACACACACACACACACACACACACACACACACACACACACACATACGCACACATACAAACACACACACACACACACATACGCACACACACACAAACACACACACACAAATATACGCACACATACACACACCAACACACCCACACAAACACACACACAAACACACAAAAACACATACACAAACACCCGGCACCACCCCTTATCCCTCTTGTACGTGTGCGTACCCCTTGGCCTCGGCGCGAATGAGCTCCTCCATGCCGACAGAGCCAGACTCCTCCATGCCCTCAAACACCATCTTGATGTTGACGGGGAGGTCAAGCCCAAGCTCCTGGCTCGCCTCAATGGCCCACAGCCAGCCCAGGACGGGGCCCTTGTCGTCAGAGGACCCGCGGCCAAACAGCCGCCCCTCCTTCTCCGTCAGCACAAACGGCTCCGTGTCCCACCCGTCGGACCTGTAACATGCACATGCGCAACAAGTGCAGTGTGTGTGTGTGTGTGTGTGTGTGTGTGTGTGTGTGTGTGTGTGTGTGTGTGTAAAGGTGTAAGGGTGTGTGTGTGTGCGTGAGTAAGGATGTGAGCGTGGGCTGCTTCACTGAGCCAACACTTGCGTGCACATGCATGCATGTATGCATGCATGCAAGAGCGTGTGTGCGTGTCTGCAAGTGTGCGTACTTGTCGGCGGGCTGGACGTCGTAGTGGCCGTACACGCAGAGGGTCTTCTTGCTTGGGTCGGTGCCGTACTGGCCAAGGAGCACAGGTGGGAGGTCAACCTCCTGGCCCTCAAGCGTCTGCTTGCCAATGTCCTTCTAAAATCGCGCATGTGCGTGCACGAAAGAAGCCACATTCGAAGCAATCAGGCCGTAAGAATCTCATCAGGACACAACATGCACCCCTCAGTTCGTGCCCGATATGGACAAAGCGTTTCCTCCCCTCCCCCTCCCCATCCTGCTGATCTCCCAACACCACACAACCCCTTTCCTCCACAAGCAATGCATAGGTGTGCTGTGCGTCCGAACCATGGTGACGGTGCCGCCGAGCTTCTCGATCCAGGCCTTGAGCCAGTGGCCCATCTCCACGACCTTGGGGCGGCGGGCAACCTCGCCACTGACAGAATCAATGGCAACGGCCTCGGCCAGGCGCTTGATGTACTCGTCCTTCTTGCTCTCAATGTGGTCGAAGAACTTCTTGGACGTCGCATCGTCCCAGACGGTGGCTGTGCAGACGAGCAAATGCCGAAACAGAGCAACAGATGACTCGTGTCAGTACGCGGGGAGATTCGGGAGGGGGTGGCACGCACACCTACACAACACCACTAACACAACTATTGCACGACGCTTGCACGCTGCATCTTTCCCTCCACTTTGTTGCAAGAGCTCACGAACCACCCATTCACTCTCAATCAAGACCCCCCACATGCACTACAAGCCCCGCAAACGTACTCGTCTTGGCCTGCTTTGCGTTGGGCTCGCTCATGGTTGCAGTTGAGACGGAGGCGGAGATAAGGGGAAGGGAAGGGGGGTCGTGCAAGAACAGTGGACATGCAAACAACACGCGGAAATTGCAACATTCGCAGCCAGTGGTTGTGGAAATTTGGTGGAAGATACTAGAGAATTATCGGTGGCAGTGGAAGGTTATGGGTGGCCGTTGTTGGCGCTTGTCTGTTGCTGGCATCATGCTGAACATGCTGGCTGCGGTGCTGTTGGTGGTGTGTGCTGTCGTGTTGGTGCGTGTGTCGCGTATCCATGTGGTTGACGACTGGAACGAGGAGCCTGTGCTCTCTGTTCTCATCACAGGCGCAAATGGCTATGTCGCATCTCACGTCATCACTGTACTCGACAACCAGGTATGATGACATGTTGCTGCAGTTTGTGTTTGCTTGTGTTTGTGGATGTGTGTGTGTGTGGATATATGTGTATGTGTGTATGTGTGTGGATGAGTGTGTATCTGCCTGATCGACCGCGTGCCTTGCTGGCCTGCTTCACTTACCCTGACGTAATTGTTTCACGCTCTGCCACTCTTGATTGTTTCACAGTGGCGCCATGGAAAGCTGAGGCTGTGGGCATCTGGGCTTCCCCCTCAAACAGTACTGACAAACCCTCGTGAGTTGGCTCTCCGATCTCCCTTTTTATCCTCTGTGTATGTGTGCGTGTGTGTTTGATCCGACTGCACGGCATACTGTCAACATTCAAGGACCTGTGTTTTGCATGATCCCGTCTCTGTGATAGATCTGGACGTGCTTCGAGAGCGATTGGAACTGAAGGATGACAAAGGCATCCAAGACGGCGTTCGCGCCTTTGACCCAGATCTCATCCTCCACTTTGCCGCCATGAGCTCTGTGAGTTTTCTGTCTGCGTGTTTTGTGTCTGTCTGTCTGTCTGTCTGTCTGTCTGTCTGTGTGTGTGTCTGTGTCTGTGTCTGTGCCTGTGTGTGTGAGTGTGAGTTTGCGCTTTTGCTCGTTGATCCTAACAATCAACCAATCTTCTTTCACACTCACACTCACACGCACGCACACACCCTCTACTCCTCAACCAACAAACTTGCAGACCTCTCTATGCGCCAGCAATCCAGACTTGGCATGGAACATCAACGCGGAAGGCACGCGTCGCCTTGCGCTCGCCCTCACAACAACACACAAATCCACTACAGCACACCAACAACAACAGCAGCAGCAGCAGCAGCATCCGCTGTTTGTGCTTATATCCACGGACTGGGTGTACGATGGGACCGCGGCCAATGTGCGTGAACACGCGCCCGCGCCTGGCTTTGGCGTGTACGGGCAGACCAAAGCGGCTGCGGAGGAGGCAACGAGCAGCGTGCTCGGTGAACACGCGCTCATCCTGCGAAGTGCGCTTGTGTTTGGCCCACCCTCGCTTGTCGATGCCCGGCGACGCTCCACGCTTGGCTGGATGGCAGACGCGCTCCGTAACTATGAACGCATCACCGCTTACGAGGACGAGTACAGAACCCCGGTGTACGTCGGCGACATTGCTCGCCTCATGTTGCACATCATCAGAAGTACTGCAGCCGCACGCGCGCGCATTGGTAGCGGTGATGGTGGTGATGGTGGTGCTGCCGGTGGTGGTGGTGATGGTGGTGATGTTGGTAGTAGCGGTGATGGTGATGAGATGAGGAGGGGGGTGGCGGCACATGTGCGCCGTGCGAATCACCCGTGGTCGCACGTCTTCCAAGGGCTGGATCGGCAATTTGGGACAAGCACCGAGGGTGACACGAGGAGTGGGCGCCGTGCGCTTGTGTTCAATATGGGCGGTGCGGACCGGGTGTCCAGGTTTGAGTTTGCCAAGGTCGTGGCGCATGTGCTGGGGCGCGGCGACTATCTCATCACGCCAGCATCACTCGCCGCCATGCAACAACAACAACAACAACAACAACAACAACAACAACAACAACAACAACAACAACAACAACAACGGCAGCAGCAGCGCCCGCCTGATGTGAGCATGGACAGCAGTGCGCTGTGGTCGGCTATTGGCTTTGCACCGACGCCCCTCAAGCAGGCTGTGATACAGAGTCTCGCTCAGGAGTGATTGTCGCAGTGGCTGATGCTTCTTGCTGTGGTTTTAATTGATGCGGAATGGTTGAGAGTTTATTGTGGAAACTCTTACATTCCCCATTTGATGTGGAGAGTGCATGGCCGAGATGTACGTACTGGGTTAAGCATTATTGTTCAAAACACTCAAGAGTGGAATATGCTGTGCTAACTGACACGATAAAAGAGAACGCTTGTTAAGGCTCTACCTCCCAGTCTTGCTCACGTCTCAAGCGAATATTGGCAAGCAAGCGATAAGAGATCAAACCACACACACATACACATGTACGCGCTCACAAGCACACATGTGCAGCCGTGACACACACACACACACACAAAACGCGCGCACGTTCACATTCACGCATGTTCCCGTGCCATTACGACGAGCAGCTGACGCCGAGTGCACACGCCCACGCCGGCGGTTTCTGCAGTGGTTCGCCCTCGGGCTGCGTGTACGGATGCTGGAGACGCGACAGCACGCGCTGCACCTCGCTGTAGTCGCCCTTCTCCGCACTGCCATCCGTGTGTGTGTGTGTGTGTGTGTGTGTGATGTGCGTGGGTGGGTATGTGTGTGTGCGTGGGTGTGTGTGTGTGTGTGTGTGTGTGTGTGTGTGTGTGTGTGTGTGTGTGTGTGTGTGTGTGGGTGTGTGTGTGTGTGTGTGTGTGTGGGTGTGGGTGTGAGGTGACAATGCTCTCTATCACGTGCTCTCGGCATTCAGAGGTTTCAGTACCACAACCACCACCCCTCAACCCCGGCATGTTGGTTGTGGGCACTCACAGGTCGATGGCGTGTTGCGCTGGCGTGTTGCGCGACAAAATTGCGGAGAATGAACGCTGGATTGACGCCATCCATCGCCTGCACATACACACATACACACACACGCACATAACCCACAAGTGTGAGATAAACACACGCGCGCACATGCGCACACATCCACAATCAAGTAAACCAGCAGCACTGGCATCCCTCCGCTCTACCTTCCAGCACCACCACCACCACCACCATCACCACCATCACCACCATCACCTGCTGCTTGTTGTGATGAAAGGCGTCGTGGTCAAGTCCCGATCGCTCCTGCTCTGTCTGCAGCCGCCGGCAGTACAACATCAGCCACTCGCCCCACAGCTCCCGGTCCTTCGTCTCCTTCTCCGCTTGCGTCATCTTGAGGCGTGGTGGTGCAAGTTGTGACAGTGGTGGTGGCGGTGGCGGTGGTGGTGGTGGTGTTAACAGGGTGGAGTTGCACAAACTTGAGACAACCAAGCAGCCACAACGACATTTGCTTGAAATGACGACTGCATGCTATTCTCGAAAACAGCGTGCGCGTTGGTTCAAGTGGAACTGTCAAATCACGCCTGTGGTGGATTGAAACCACAAATCCACATCACCAACCGCACGTTGCTACATGTGTGTGCATGTGTGCGCGTGGATATGTACATGTGTGTGCGCGTGGATATGGCGCGGTCATCGCACCTTTGTCAACTTCTTCAGCTGGTCGTACTTCAACACCAAACGCTTGCGCGATCCTGACATACAGTGAGGGGAGGAGGAGGGTGAGAGAAATGGAAGCGAGGAAAAAAGCGAGACTTGAATGACACACACACACGCACACACACACAGCCACACACAGCCACACACACACACACACCACACACACACGCACACCACACACACACACACGCACACACCACACACACACACACAGCCACACACCACACACGCACACACGTAACGCACTGCGGGAGGGCGAGCAGCTGCTGCAGCTGGCGCGGGTCCATGCGCGGCTTGATAGAGCGCTTCCACTCGTCGACAGTGGTGAGATGCTCGCTGATTGCCGACAGGAACGGTGCACCCCTGTTCTCCGGCGATACGAGGCTGACGTGGTGGCGACAGTCACGATTGTGAGCGTGGTGGGGGCAGTGGACATGCATCATCAATTCATTACCACACACGCACATCCACACACATCCACACACATTCACACACACACACACACACGCACACAAACACACGCACGTTTCGGGTACAATGTCCAAACGCTGCCTGCGCCCCTCAAACTTGCCTCTGCGGCATCACCCTCTCACCTGAGGAGCCGGAACGTGTTGGTGAAATCGGCGCCCGTATCCGCCATCACGTTGAACAGATGTACAAACAGGCGATCATCCCCATCAGCAGCGCTGTCGTCATCGTCATCCCCATCGCCATCGTGTGACTTGGTTGCGCTTTCGACAGCGGCTGCTGTGTGTGTCAGCCCGAGCTTTGCGCGCATGTGTGCGCGGTAGGCGGTGGTGTACTCCCGCTTGAACGTTCTGTGAATGAAAATGGCGGTAATGGTGACGGCGTTGGTGGTGGTGGCGGTGCTGGTGTTAGTGCTACATGCAAGATTCGACCAAGAAGCACGAAGGAAAGTGCGAGGAGCAGTACAACACCTCCAGTGACAACAAGAGCGCCAGTGAATAGTTGCACCACCATCAGCGCCACCAGCAACAGCAAGGTGACCATCAACACGAGCGACGACAGCGACGCACTCGTTGCAGATCTGGTCCAGCGTCTCCTTGTCGGTGAGCGGCGAAAGGTCTTCGGCCAACCGGTTCAGATTCCACTCGCAGATTGCAGGCTGCCAACGCGGGTGGATGAGTGCGAATGAGAGAATGTATGTGTTTATGTGTGTGTGTGTTTGTGTGTGTGTGTGTGTGTGTGCGTGTTCATGTGTGTGTTTGTGTGTGTGTGTGTGTGTATGTGTGTGTGTGTGCGAGTGTGTGTGTATGTGTGTGTGCGAGTGTGTGTGTATGTGTGTGTGCGAGTGTGTGTGTATGTGTGTGTGTGTGTGTGTGCGAGTGGAGAATCGTTCAACAGCACATGTACACCGTAATGTCATTATCACCACCGCTTCATGATCGCTACCTGGCTCTTGTAGTCATATCGCCCGCCATCGTCCGAGTGGTTGCAGATGTGATCGGGATCATAGCGGTCTAGAAAGCCTGAACACGCGCGCACACACGCGCAAACATACACACACAAAACATACACGCATCCCATGAGGGTCGTGATGCGCGTGTGAATGTGCACGTTCTGCGGCGAAAACAAAACATGCACACCAACATCGACTTGCAGTGCTCTTCACTGCTAACTGCTTGCGCGTGCCAGTGCGTGCGCTATGCGTATGCTTGGACATTGCCAGGACCAGTTGCGTACCAAACGGGCCATAGTCGATGGTGAGACCGATGATGCTCATGTTGTCTGTGTTGAGTACACCGTGGCACCAGCCAACCGCCTGCCACTTGGCAACCAGCCGCGCTGTGCGCACGCAGATCTGAACATGTGTTGGGGTGCGAGTTTGTGGGGATTGGTGCGGTGGGCATGGAGATTATGGCGTATGCGGTTGACGATGAAACAAATGGCGCATGTGCAATGGGCGCATCGCCTGAGCTGAGGAGGCAATCCGACCCCACTGAATTGCACAACGCACATGTGCACGCACACACACACATGTGTACACACACACACACATGTGTACACACAATCGCACAGCAGACACACGCACGAACGCACGCACGCACGCACGCACACACACACACACATAACACGTGCACGCACTCACACACATTGCACACGCATTGCACAAATACACACACACGTGAACGCACCTCGCGGTACATCTCGGTGAATTTGGTGGCGGCGTCTGCGTCCGTTGCGTGAATGTGCGGGTAAAACATCTCCAGCGTGTAGTCAGCAAGCGTGCGGACGAGGTCCGTGTTTCCGGGACTGGAGCCTGGCCTGCCCGTGACAGGGTCCTCCGTCTTTGCGACTTCGAATGACCCAAAGCGGAAGAACGTGGGCGCAATGCGCGTGATGACTGTGCAGTTCTCCTGGATGGGATTTCCGGTGTAGAACACATCGCGCACCACTTTCGTGTCAGACGTCACAATGGTCCTGTGACGCGCACGTGCGTGTGTATATGTATGTGTGTGTGTGTGTGTGTGTGTGTGTGTGTGTGTGTGTGTGTGTGTGTGTGTGTGTGTGCGTGCGTGTGTGTTGTGTGAGACATTGAAGAGCAAAGTTTTGCAAGTACAACACGAATGATTTCACATCACACACACACACATCACAAACACATCCAC